CCAGCTCCCACACGATTTTGTCGCCCTCCGGCAGCTGCAAACATACGCAGTAATCGTCCAGGAACAATCGATTCAGCAAGTAATGCGTTTCCGTGAGACGGAAGACCCTCCGCATCCGTAATAAGCACCGGAGCAACATCCGCTTCCTTCGGCCGGTCCCTCCCTCCCTCCCTCCCTCCCTCCCAACCACCATCCCGTACACGTCGTCCACGCACTTCTCCACCAGGCTCCATACCCGGAGGTAGGGATAGCTCACCACCCGCCTGGCAAACGTCCGCAGCACCTCCGCCACCGAGGCCTCTTTTCGCCCGTAGGTCTCCAGGTAGGCGAGGGAGGGGGAGAGGACGGTCAGCGTCCAGGCAGACTCCACCGTCGGCTCCCCCCCCGTGGTCCGGTGATCGTAGGCGAAGGCCAGCAATAAGTCCAAGAGCCCCAGGCCGACGGCCCGACGTTCCGCACGCGCCGCCCCCTCGCTCCCCCACAAGAACTCTCGGTTCTTGAGCAAGGCCAGCTCCTCCTCCTCCGCCTCCTCCCACCGCCCCTCCCCCGCTCCCTCCCAGAAGGGGTGGATGCCCGTCGCTTCCTCAAAGACCGGGTCTTCCTTCGCACCGAGCAGGTCGCCCAGGTACCTGTCCTCGTCGAAGTCCTCCGCCTCATCCGCTTCTCGCATGGCCCCCCTCGCTCCCTCGGGCGTCCGCTCTGGATCTCTCAGACGGAGCACCTCCAGCACCACCGTCTCCCCCCCCAGGTCGCCGAACACACCCTGGTACTGCCGGTTGAACCCGTACTGCGTGCGGCCCAGCAAGCCGCTTCCTTCCTCCCCTTTGCCCGCTGCATGAAAAATCTCACCCTCCTCTCCGTCGGGGGTGCCGCCGGCTTGGGCGGTGGCGAGGGACGGGCAAGAGGAAGGAAGGGGGCTCTCCGTGTCTGAGGTGCTGCCGGTGGGGAAGTCTTGGGAGCGTAGCACCTCGATGGTGGGGGGGCCGGGGCAGGGCGCGGTGGTACTCCCGCGGCCCTTTGCCACCGTGCTGATGGGCGTGGACGGGGCACAGAAGGAGCGCGTGGGCTGCAGGAGCGTGGTCTTCAAGTCCAGGTCCTCAAAGACACGCCCCGGTTCCTCCTTGGTGAGATGCACTGTCATGGTGCCGTGGTCCTGAAGCGGGATGGAAACCGAGGACGAGTCCCGCGTCGTGAGCAAGTCCGCAAGCATGCAGAGCAAAGGATCAGGCTAGCTTGGAGAGACGCGTGAGTTGTGTTCGCTAGGCAAGGAAGGGCTATCGACCTGTGCACGGGGACGGGAGACCTGCTCCACTCACCAAATTAGCGTCATAGACCGCGCGGCAATGACTCTCTTCGTCTTCATTGTTCTTGAGGGCGTGTGGGAACTGAAGCTTTAAGAGGTAGGGCCTGCAATAAAATACAAAGTCACGGCCATCCTGCGACAAACGATGCGGGAGCCGTAGGCGAGAGTTAAAATAAATGACAAACCCCTCGTACCAGAAGGAAAACCTACCGCAGAGACTTCCGCGTCACCTACACGGATGTAAGGCAACTTAATGGTTACTATGACGGTATTCGGGGTTTGCTGAAGGGAAAAGCGTGGCACCAACATTGCTAGCGGGGGAGGTGGTGAAGGAGGGGGATGGGCCTGCATGGGGAGGGTAAAGAAAGCCTCAAGCTTGAACGACGAACGTGCGACTCTCCCGAAAATGACAAACGGAAAAGATTTATGTGTGGAAAAGTGGCAACATTGTGAAGGACATGCTGGCGGGCATGTCAGCCAACACACGCCACAAAAGCTCGGCTACAGGGAGCGTACGAGCAGCAGGAGAGGCGAGATCCGAGTCGGTCCAGGAGGTGGGAGAGACGGGCCCACGCGAATACATGCCAGACTGATAGAGGTCCTTCACCATGCCCACCCACCTCACGTGTCTTATTTAAGTCTGCACTCCCCTGCTCTGCTCTGTTTTGGGATTTAGACTTGCTGCCCTGACCGCTTTATTATTTCCCTCCTCCTTCCCGTATCCACACCAGGAGGGACAGCCCAAATTCCCGGCGACAATATTCAGGCTGGGCTGCGCACAAAATCGTTCCCAGAATTCACAGGTATGTTCATGTTCCACTGGACCCAAAGTAGTCTACGGTTCTTTTCAAGTCTTGGGAGCACGGGGGGCAGAAGGGAGGGAGGTCGAGGCCTGAATGCGCGCCCCTGCAACGCGTAACGCGTCGAAAATGGCGGGGTCTGCTGCTTTTTGAAATGGACGTGAGAGTGGTATTGATGGTCTGTGATCAATGGTCGGGTGGGCGTGAGAGATGTTTCTGCAGCCGTCTCGCTTCACTCCGCGTACCAAAACATTCTGCACTCCATTTCCTCCCATGTCCTTCTATCTGCGAAGTAGGCGGCGGCCGTCTGTCCGCTGAAAAGCCTGGAGTCCTTTTGGAAAAGTCTCGGACTCCAGTGACCGAGTTCAACGCCGCCTTGCAAATATTTGGTCCGCTAGCGCCCCCGGTTCTGCCCTCTCTTCCGCGGCCACCCTGCCCTCCCCCT